GTTTTTCCTCAATAATCCAAAATTAATTAATTAATTAGATTTGGGAAGATGCTTACTTTTCCTCCTCCCATTTGAGGAACCAAGAAAGAAGGTATGAGAACAGTTGTGCCAAGCATCACCAGATAGTGTTGGAAGCCAAGCAATATGGCCTCAGCTTCATTTGCCAAACATTATGTACACAAATACCCCAAAATCAGTACTGATTTTTAAATTTAGCAGAAATAATTAATAATCTGAAAATAAAAAAAATTGAAAAAGACTGACGCCATGGAGGTGGGCTTGTAATGCAGTAAGAGACTCCAGGAAGTTGATCTTTCACCGGATGTGGCACTAATTCTTCTTGCTTTGGGGGGGCTCCAAGTGCTCCTCCTCCACCCATGCTTATTTTTCTCTCTAATTTAATTATTAAATTAAAATTTCAAATAAATAGCAAAAAATAACAGAAATTATTAGTAACACAATGATCCCCAAATTGCAAAGTTATAACGTCACCTGAAACTGAAATATTAATCAATGACGAACAATCCCAAGAATCACTGACTGATTTTTCATTAATTACCTTCACACAAATTTTAAAACTTGATCGGATTCGGGCCAAAAAGATTTTTAGTTACCGAAAATAAAAAATTTGTGGGAATGAGAAGAGAAATAAGAAAATCTATTTTGAATTATTAGTAGAAAAAGCAAACCATGCAAAAGCTAAAGGGGAAGAAAAATGAAGAGTCCTCGGGAAGTAGCTAGTGAGTTACAGCGAGCAAAAAAGGGTTAATTAATTAAGAAGTAAATTCAATCNATATATCACAATTAGAAACAAATATAATCAGGAGGGGAAAAAAAGGATGAGTAAGCGTAGAAGAGAGAGAGTGAAAAGAAGAGCACAACGAAAGACCAAAGGTCAGAAAAGAGAAACCGAAATGCCACTCTGCAACACGTACTTTCCAAAAGGAATAATCCATCCCATCTCTCTCATCTCATGCATTTAATTGAAAGGGAAAAAGGACAAGAAAAAGAAAAATGGGAGAAAAGAAATAAATAAGTTTTTATTAATTATTATGTTGTTATTTTAAGAGCATCAAATCTAAACTTTGCATTTTCAATCTTAAACACACTTTTCCTTTGTTCTTCTCTAAAGCTGATGACTGATGAGCATCTGCCACCTTTCTTATCATTCACTCTACAAAAGCATCATTATAAATATAAATTATTCCGGGAATCTAATGTAATTTCATTTTTATATATAAAAATTAGAAACAACAAATTAGAAAGGGCATGCGGCAAACTGCAATCTCATTCTTAACCAGGGCAATCATCTCTGCTGAAATTTTGTTTTGTATTGAGAAATCGTACGGATACTATTCAGAAGTACGCAAAATGTTGGGCATTTTGCAAATATGAATTCATTGGGAAGAAATAAGAATAGTGTACAAGCTAAGAGTAAACTTTAACAAGTGAATAAATCTAATCAAACCAAGCTCTGTATGCTACTTTATATTTTCTTCTTTTTTTTCGGTAAATTTTATTTGCCTCTAATAGTGCGTTCGATAGACTGAAAAAAAAAAATGTTCCTCTCTTGCCCTTGAAAATATTCACTTAAATCTCCAGGCACACATTTCGAGTCATAGTATAAAAAAGTGCACCACACGTCAATTCCGATTCGGGATTAAGGTTCATTGATTGATTGATGTAGTCCAAAACTCAAGACTTCATAGGTATGCTCAACCTTGGACTGACGTGTCATAGCATAATATCACTAGGCTTGAGTCTTGACCCGTGAAATCGCTGCGAGAATAAAAAGAAGTGTTGTCAGATTACACGAGATTATCGTCACCTTGTTGGAGGCTGGCTCTAATATATCTGTGGTTTGTGAATATCAAAAGGTCGGCTTAAAGAAAATGAAGAAAACGAAACAAAATCAAAGTCGAGGCACGTAATAGTTACGTTCTCCTTAAGACGAAATTGTCCCGTAAAATATCCATGGTTAACGGCAAACGCCTCCAAAATACAACGACTTTCGACTTGTATATAGCAGTACTTCAAATATACAAGCCTTCGGCGAACACTACTATTGTTTGGAACTCACAAGACTCAATGAAAAAATAAAAAACACAATATGGTATATGATCTTTGAAAAGTAATGCAAGAGCTCTCTAATTTTCATGTTATTAATGATTTTAAGTATGTGGCTATTTATAAATATAGGAGAACACCTCAAAGAGGTTTAAGTGTCAAAAGACACCTTTTGGGACGTGCCCGAACGAAACAGATACATCTAGTGGCCAAAAGATACCTTATGGTCACCAAGGGTTGCGACCCTTTGATTTCCGCAGCCAGTTGCGCGCCCGTGCGCCACGGGCTCGTACGAGCTCATACGGACTCGGAATCGAGTTCCGTTTTTTCCTACTTGTCCCCAACGAGCCCTTATACATTTCTAGCATACATAATACATAATTATGGCTCGTTTAGTTCGTCCAAACATTTGTCAAAATAGAATGTTTATGAACCCTATAACCTTTGAGTTATTTAAACTTAATTAATTAACACATAACACTTAGAATTAATTTCTCATTCACCTTAAAAAGGTTTTGAAAATTTCCTAAGTCTTCTACTTACGAAAAGTAGAATCGTTAAATCGGTACAAAACTAATTTTTTCTTACAACATCCACATTGTAGGATTTAACTTCAAGTTTTTTTTAAAGACCAATTATCATTTTTTTGGTGTGCTCAACAACTTCGATCCAGTTCAATGTCACCTCAACCGTCTTTGAACCACTTCAGTTACCTACAAAATAGTGTCGGGAGAATCACAACGTAAACCTTCTGATGGTCAAGTCAGTTTTAGTGTAGAGAGTGATGTATGGATAATAATGATAGCTTAGAATGTTAAGAGAGGGACTGACTGGTAATAATACCTACCTCACCTCTTTATACAGAGTCATTACTTTGCTGTCCAAGATCTGTCCGATCTTGCTGTCAAGCATTGCTCTTGTTTTATCATGTTCACACTATTGCGTTCACACTGTTATTGTCCCCTTAGATGGTCATCCTATGCTTGACCGAGCTAAATAAGTCATCCACCTTTATTTTGACTAGTCTAACCTTGTTGAGCCAAAGGTCGTCCACTGACCTTTCCAGCTCCAGGTCGAGTAGTCCTAACTCGACCTGCCGCCGTTGTTCCTTGTCTCACCAACCTAGTTGCGAGCTACCCAAGTCAGTATAATGTCCACTGTCTGAGCTGCCAACTATATCCAACCCTCTGAGCTTGGTCTGAGCTTCAGAGGCTAGTATGATTTATTATATTTAGTCCTCTCACTCTGGTTGAGTTGTGAAGACTCGACCTAAGAGTAGGGCCCAATACAACAACGGTCCGAGCTTTGTCCGAACTGTCAGTCACGTGTAACCGTCCGAGTTCCTTTCGAGCTATCCGAGCTCCAGAGGCTAGTATGATAGAGCATATCACTTTGCAACTTCAATTGTATATGTAAACTAGTTCTGAGTATAATGTTCTCCTAACGAACACTTGGTTTACATAGAGATAAACATGTTGATCCTGTCATGTGTTAGACTCTGTTGCCCAAGCTAATCGTATGATTGGTAGAATAAAAGCAAAATATCTTAATATAATTAACTATAATCAAGAAAGATACAGCTTGAAATTTCACATGGCCACCACATTAATGATGATGAAAATATACATACATTAAAATTAAAACTCAATCTAGTAAAAGATAACATTGCTGCTGTAAAGCTACCCATCTGATGACATATTCAATGCTTCCGCCAAACATCACACAAGCTGTAGCCTACTCTTCGTATGTTTGATATATTCCACGGTCTAAAAGCTACTTCATTCAAAATAAAGCTTTAATACGATTCTCAACCTGCCTTTCTTGCACTGTGTGTAAAAGAGTAAAAGGTTATCACATATTGACACGCTTTCTTAAAATCAAACAGTTAGTGTCTTGAAGAACGGAATAACTTATACCCAACTACCATTTTCATGCCACTACAGTCAAGAGAAAGCTGTAAATTAATCAAATCTCACATGTAAATAACAGAATCAACTACAACAATTTTGTATGCAAAATTTCATTATTGAGTCTCATGCAAATTTTAGTTCCCTTATTTTATCAGGCAATAACGACTTGAGAGAAATGCAAAAACATAAATATCCATCATTTTATTACGAAAGAAGCCCTCAGATCTCACAATTGGATAAATTCACTTGTCCACAGGAGGTTGGAGAACTACTATTGCCCTCAGTCTCGGGGCTCAAATGCAAAAGAAATTCACTGCATTTTTTAATCAAGCGCGAAACTTCATCGTCAATTAACCAAAATTCCGAGATTGCAGCCTCTTCTTCTCAAACTCGAGCTGAGAAAAAAGATAGTAGTACAGTATCAATGACAACACGTGCAAAAAAATAAAATAAAATGAAATATTTAATTTTTAATATTATGGTTTGACATGTAACTTACCACTTTTCGGACCCGTTCATTAGCAGCAGGAGTTCCTCCTACAACTGAGTCAGGTTGATATGGGCTTCCAACACGGACTTCATTCATCACCACTATTGTAGTCTTGTCCCACCTAACCGGAAGCCTGCTTTACATACAAAAAAGGAAAAAGAAAAATAAAACACTAACTATAAAATAAGTATGAATTACGACCAAATTTCTTGGGGTAAAATGCATTTAGAAAGGAAAAATGGTAAAATACGGCAGTGCAGAATGTATAGGTACTGTTTCGCTATAACGTGGGAACTTTTTGTCCATTGCTCAAATCAAACTAATCAAATAACTAGCACGTCGTATACTCTAACCTTATTGGTTTAATCCACTGTCCTATCAAGTGATAAAAGACCAACGAAAAATTTTTATCCTATACACTCATTAGCTTTTTGTTTGGCAAGGCTCGCTGGAAAAAGATTCTTAAACATGTAGGTATGATTATTAACCTAACAAATAAGGTCGACACCAACACAGGATCGGCTTAGAAATTGTATGTTTTCTCATGGAGTTTAATTAATAAAATATTCTGTTGAAAATATTATGAAAAAACTCAGTCTTGTGCGACAAGAGATGCTAACATCAAGCAGTTGACCTATTTTTCTATCATCTGTGTTCGAATTAGATTTCACGTGTTTAAATGGAGATTCTACACAATCATGAACAGGTAGTCTTTTCTGGAATCACTTATAGCCATAGACAACGAAAATGCTCGTCAAATGATTAGCAGCGCAAAGAATATATATCATCCAACTTATGATACATAGACCTATCTTATGTGCCACATTTATATAATGTTTAGAATGAAGTTGCAATGAACATGTAAAATCCATCATCTAAGTCCAGAGAATGCAATAACGTGACAAAAACAAACACCATAAAACAAAATATTGAGGAATTGAAAATCAAATAAATGACATCGGATCTTCCCTACAAAAGGGTTTATGGATTCTAAACTTAGGCATAAAGCATACCAAGTTGAAAATGACAAACGTGCACAAGTGAATAATGTAATGGTCACCATTTATATTGTTAACAGCATGAATATAATAAACATAATGAATAAGCATCGCATTCCATTTTATACATACAGAGGATGCAAAAGATGAAAAAGAAAACACAGCCTTAAGTAAAGAAATAAATACAATTGAACTAAATACAATTTGACAGAAATGCAACTGAAACATATACACAAATAAACAGATAGAAGAATCATTCCAACAGAAAGTGTATGGAGTCTGTAGTGCACCAATAAACCATATCAAGATGCAAAAGAATAAACCCCTATCAAAGAGAAAAAAAAATGTATGACTAGGACTAGCTTGGATAAGGAAGGCCATTAAATAATCACTTGAGTTGAAGTTCTAACAATTGAGAAAGTATACTACATAAGAGTTGAAGATTTCAGACAAATGCAGATCAATTCAAAACTCAACAAAAGCAGACAGTCAAGGACGGCAGGTAAGATAAATCCCATCGTTTGTTCTTATGATTTCTTATGATCACTAAACATTCAAATAAAGTAAGTACTCTTCCTCTCGGATACCATCTTACGAGTCTCTTTTTGTTAATAGTTTTATTAGTGTCAGAATGAAACGATATGAGAATCATGAAAGCATGCACAAATCAAACTAGTTTAATGCGATTGTACCAAGAGTATTCCAACTACAAATACAAATCAAATGCATTATTTTCAGGCATTGAGAAATGAAAAGTCATAACAAAAGGGAAGACACATTACGTCTTAGATAAAGCATCGAAAATAAGCTGTGCCTCAGCAGTAACACCCACTCCAATCCTCTCGGCATCGGCCTCAGCTTGTCTGCATACACAATTAAAACAATCAACCCATCAATCAACACAAAAAGGTCCCGCTACAGAAACAAATCGAAAAATTAAAATAAAATCCATGCATTAAAAAAATTTAAAAACATCAAAATCAAAGTAAGGGAGTGCCAAATTTGGGAGCTTTTTTTACCTAATTGCGGACTCTTCCTTGGATTGGAGACTGGTTAGGTCAAGAAAACACTTGCTCGCATCAAGTGGGTCCTCACCTTGACCTAAAAACGTGAATTCCTTGACATAATTAGCCTTCAGAAGTCTAATGTTCCTCCTCGGACCAGCTCCGGATTGCCCTCCCTCTTGTAATTTCCCAGCGCTAGAGAGTTAAGGAATTTGCCAGGGATTGCAACAAATTAAGAAAACGAAGGAATTACACCAAAAAAAATTTGCAATCTATAAGCAATGAAAGACTAACTTCGAGTAATCAAAATAAGATTGGAATATTTGAAAGGATATGAAGGATGAGGAGATTGGAGGGGCGGTCAAAGGCGATGACTTGGGCTTGAAATTCTTCTCCGAGTGTGGTTTTGATGGAGAGTATGCAGCCCACAGCAAATTCTTCGTCTCCTGACTGAGAATCCATTGCCGTCTGCAAACGATTTCTTTCTCGTTTTTTGTTTTGCTGTCTTCAAAGTTTCAACACAACATTGTTGTTTGACCAACGTTTTTATGGATTCATTCGATGCTGCCCACACATGGTGCTGCTAGTTCCACTTTTGTTAAATAGGTGAAAAAAGAAAAAAAAATTGAAATTGATTATCTAAGGCCCAACATCCCTCTGTATATTGATTGATAAAATGTTGAACATAGACTTGCATTCCAATTTAAAAATAATTAAATTTGAATTATTCATTAATATGTTGATTATTTAATATTATGTTACATGTATTAATTATATTTTAATATTATTTTTTATTATAATATTAAATTGTAAATATATTTTTAAAAGTTAATAATTTTTATATTTTTTATCAATTTTACGTATATAATATATCAAATTAATCATCTTTCAATAACTTTCGATTCAACATCCATATTGTATGTACAAAAAAATTATATTTATCTTTATAACAATAATAAAATTGTTTTTTAATATTAATTAGAAAAATAAAATTATTTATCAATTAATATATTTATATTTCAAGTAGTTATATGATATAAGTTATAAAAATTACTATAATATAACACATGTTAGTTGCACAAGTAACAAGTGCCATTCTTTTTTTTTTTAACGAAACGATAGAGATATTATATAAAACGCGCAAAAGTGTAAAAAGCAGCCAACAGCTGAATACAAGTAGCCAATAGCTGAAAAGTGAGAGGACAGGTCAAATACCGCCTAGAACCGACCCCACGGGGTAATACTCAAGAATACTAAAAACACAAAAAAACAACAACACCAGTATAATTTTTTTGTAATTCTATAATAGATAATAATATATATTTTTTTGTAAAAATGTAAATAAAATTTAAAATAATTTTTCTCATTAATTTTAAAATTTAAGAATAATTTTTTTAACAAGCACCCGTATAATAAACGGGTGTTGTACTAGTGTTTCTTACAACAAAATAACTCAAAAATTACCTAGTTCACCACGCAATAGCCTTTTTATTACACATTTAGAGTGTGTTTGTACACAAAAATATTCACTTAAAATGAGTTCTTTTTTTTTGTTTTGTTTTTTTTTTTTTTTTACAAAAATAGTATGGTTAGTTATTAGTGAAATTTTAATTTTATATTACATTAATATTTAAATTAAATGATTAAAGTTGATTTGATGTAAAAATAGGAGAGAGATGTGTGAAGTGATGGTTAGTTAAAATTATGTCAGTAGATAAATAGTAAATTAAAGTTGATGTAATGTATAATAATGATTGATTGATATTATTTAATTATATTGATAATATTTAGGATAATATAGTTGAGTTAAAGTTAAGTTAGATTTTGAGTAAGAATTAAGTATTTTCATATATTGGTAACGCAAAACACTCCGACCTCGATCTCGACTGGGAATAATGCCTTCATGCCATAAACCAGACTGAATGGTGTTTCTCCAGTAGTCGACCTTGGCATTGTGCGATACGCCCAAAGTACTGACGTGAGCTCATCAACCCATGCGCCCGACGCCTTCTCCAGTCTTGTTTTCAGGCATCCATTCAATATGATTCTGTTGGTCACCTCGACTTGTCCATTGGCTTGCGGATGAGCAACCGATGCAAAATGTTGTTCGATCTTCATGTCGTCACACCATGCTCGAATCCGCTTGCCATTGAATTGTGTCCCGTTGTCGGATACCAACACCTTTGGGACACCAAACCTGCAACAAATATTGTTATATAAAAATTGTATGACTTTTTCCTCCGTGATCTTGGCCAACGGTTCGGCCTCCACCCATTTCGTGAAATAATCCACCGCCACAATCAAGAATTTTCTTTGCCCCATTCCTTGCGTCACCGGCCCCACCAGATCGACACTCCACTGCGCAAATGGGATAGGAGCGCTCATCGTAGTCATTGTCTTCGCCGGCTGATGGATAAGTGGGCCGTGTTTCTGGCACTGCAAACATTTCCTCACCATCGTCCTCGCATCCTCTTTCATAGTTGGCCAAAAATATCCTGCTCGCAGAATTTTTGCCACCAAGGAACCCGCCTTGCTATGATCACTGCAACATCCCTCGTGCGTCTCCCTCAGCACGTATCGACCTTTCTCTCGCGTAACACACCGCAAATGAGGTCCAGCATACGACCTCTTATACAACACTCCTCCATGTTCAAAGAACCTCCTCAACACTTTTGCCCCTCCTTCTTTCAACTCCTTCAATATCGAGGCTCTCCAGTCGTCGACCTCCTCTATTTCAACTACCTCACACTCGACCACACTCTTCTCCATGTGTAGCAAAGTAATATTTCTACTCTTACAGTCGACCAGATTCTGTGCGATTTTGAATAACAGATCTTCTCGACCATTCTCCCCCCGAGGTATCTGCACCAGCTCGAACGAGTTAAACTCCTCTCGCAACCTTCTCATCTACTCCACGTACCTCTGCATCCTTTTCTCCTTCACCTCGAAATCCTCCTGAAACTGGCCCACTACCTGCTAAGAATCGGAATGCACCTGAATCTTTCGAGCTCCTCCCGCCATGGCCAACTGCATTCCTTTAATGACTGCCTCGCACTCCGCCTCATTGTTCGACACCTTGTACCCAACTTTGACCGCGAACTCCAAATTATCTTCTTTGGGTGAAAATAACACGATGCCCAAACCTCCTCCAACTCTCGATACTGAGCCATCAACAAACCTCTGTCAAACACCTTCTGTCTCTTCCTCTACTTTCGTACCCTCCTATATAAAATCAGTCAGCGCCTGTGCCTTGATCGCCCTCCTAGGCTCGTATGATATCGTGTATTCACTCAACTCGACCGCCCACTTCACTAGCTGACCCGATACAGAGGGTCGACCTAAAGTTTCTCCCAGTGGCATGTTCGTCCTCACCTTCACCTTGTGACCCAGAAAATAAGGCCGCAACTTTCTCACCGTGACCACCACGGCTAAGGCACACTTCTCGATCTCCGAATATCTTCTCTCCGCACCCTGCATCACCCTGCTTACGTAATAGATTGAGAATTGCATCGTGCCCTCCTCCCGCAATAGAACTGAACTTACAGCCATTTCTCCGATCGATATGTATAGCACTAGATCCTCCTTAGGAACCGGCTTAGCCAACAGAGGCAGATTGGCTAACACCTTCTGTAACTCCTCGAATTACCTCTGGGCCTCCTCCGTCCACTGGAATTTCGAGCTCTTTCTCAGTGTTCGAAACAGAGGACCGCTCTTCTCCGTCACCTTCGATATGAAATGGCTCAGGCCCGCGATCCTGCCCGTCAAGATCTGCACCTCCTTCACCTTTGTGGGCGGTTTCATATCGATCACTGCCCTCACTTTCTCCGGGTTAACCTCGATCCCCCTTTTTGTCACCATATATCCCAGAAATTTTCCCGACTTCACTCCAAAAGAACACTTAGCGGGATTCAGTTTCATGCCATACCTCCGCAAAGTCAAGAACGTCTCCTTTAAATCATTCACGTGATCAGCCTCCGCTTTACTCTTTACCAACATATCATCAACGTAAACCTCTATATTCCTTCCCAGCTGCTCCTTGAAAATTTTATCAACCAACCGTTGATACGTCGCACCAGCGTTCTTCAAGCCAAAGGGCATCACCACATAACAATAAGTGCCCCTGCTCGTAACAAAGCTCACCCTCTTCCTATCCTCCCGAGCCAAAAGGATCTGGTGGTATCCCTGGGACGCATCCATAAGACTGAGCAACTCACATCCCGCGGTAGAATCGACCAGCTGGTCGATCCTAGGCAATGAATACAAATCTTTCGGGCACGCCTTATTTAAGTCACGAAAATCAATGCACATCCTTCACTTTCCTCCCGACTTAAACACCATCACCGTGTTCGACAACCACTCGGGGAACTGAATCTCCTTGACATGACCCGCCTTCAACAACTTCTCAACCTCCTGCTCGATCACCTTATCCATCTCTACTCCATGGTGTCTCCTCTTCTGCTTCACCGGCCTCACCGTCAGATTGATATTCAACCTGTGCTCAATTACTTCCGCCTTTATCCCCGTTAACTCATCAACAGTATACGCGAAAACATCCGCGAACTCCCTGATCAACCCAATCAATCTCGACCGTACGGGCTCCTCAAGCTCCTTTCCTACTCGAAACTTCTTCTCCTCGCACCCTTCCACCATCTGGACCTCCTCGATCTCTCCTCCTGGCTGCATTTCCACCTTCTCCTTCCCTCTATCCGCCTTCTCCTTTTCCTCCCTCGACCTCGAACTCCCCGGTCGACTCAACACTCCCTCCTCGAGCTTCACCTACTTCCTCGAGAGCTGTTTGTTGTTGCTCACCGTGGTTTGATAACAGCTCCTCGAGGTAAGCTGATCCCCTGCGACCTCACCAATGTTTTTGCCCACTAGATATTTGATCGTCATATGGTACGTCGATACGACGACCTGGAATGCATTCAAACTAGTCCTTCCCATGATTATGTTGTATGATGACTCCGCTCCAACGACCACGAACCTCACCTTCCTTGTCGCCCCTTGCCCCAAGGCAACAGATAGACTCACCTCTCCCATTGGCATCACCTCGCCTCCATTAAATCCATATAAGGCCGTGGTCACCGGCTTCAGCTCGAGATTAAGCTCCTTATTTATCTGCACAAAACAATTGTAAAACATTACATCCACCGAACTCCCGGTATCAATGAACACCCTCTTCACATCAAAACGTGCCACCTCCGCCGTGATCACCAATGCATCATTGTGAGGCAACACCACTCCCTCAGCATCTTCTGCCCGAAAACTTATTTTCATCGCTCGAACATGCCCCTTCCTTGCATTGTTCGAGTCCCCATCCGTTGGGCCTCCTGAAATCATATAGATCGTCCCTCTCTTCACAGGACCGTGACCCTCCTGGCCTCCTCGATCTCTACTCTCTCGCCTCCGTTTTTCTCCCGCACCTCCACGATCACATCTTCCTCCTCGTCATTGTCCCGATCACTCCGCTCTACTGAATCTTCCTGACACCTCCCTTTATCTTTCCCCTTCACCTTGTCCTCATACACAAATTCCTTGAGATACCCTGCCCGAATGAGGCGCTCAATCTCATCTTTGAGGTGTCTGCACTTTTTCGTCGTATGCCCGTAATCTCTATGGAAACGGCAATACTTCTTCGACCTAGACTGTGTCGGCCCCTCATGCCTCGATTTCGGCCACGTCATGTCCTTGTCCTCTATCTTCCTCTCGATGTCCACCAGCACTTCTCCCATCTTTACATTCAGTGGCGTAAAGTTATGGAACCGCTTTCCTCCAAACACTGGTCGATCCTTCCACCTATCCTTTCGTACACGATCCATTCTGCCACGTCCCTCTCTCCTGGGCGATCTCCTCCTTGGCGACACCCTCTGAGGCAAGTTCGCCCTCCCCTTCTTCGGCTCCGGCTTGGCTAATTCCTCCAACTTAGCAAACTCCAGCCTCCGTCTCCTCCAAGTTGATGTACTTCTTGCACCTCTTCAGCACATCGTCATACGTACGAGCAGGGGTTTTGGCTAAGGATGTTCGACAAGGCCCTGCTCGTAAACTCCTTATCAACGCCCCAACCTTCACCTCGTCGGCGGCCGTAGGGATCTCCAAACAGGTTTGATTACATCGAGCTACATACTTGCGCAACAACTCTTTCTCCCCCTGCCTCATGGCCATCAGCGTCAAATACGTCTTCTCCTGCACCACAACGCTCGTGTATTGGGTCATCAGCTTCTCTGCGAAATCGTCGAAGTCCTTGATCGATCTATGAGGGAGCTGCTGAAACCAATCGAGCGCGCCTCCTCTCAAGGTCGATAAGAATGCCCTGCAGCTAACAGAATCAGAATAACCATGTAACACAGCCAAGTTCTCAAACGCCTTTACGTGCCTCGACGGGTCAGTAGTCCCATCGAACACCAAACTCATGTCCCTGAAATTCGCGGGTAATGGTGCAGCCAATATGTCCCTCGAGAACGGGTGTCCTTGAGCACGCCTCTCAGGTCGGCCATCCATCTTGACTTGCATCTGCCTCACCTGTTCCGCGAGTCTCTTCACCTCCCGATCTCGCAGAGCTCCATCTCCTCCATAGCTAGACACATCCTCGTCCATCATCATCGGCCCAGCAGACACTCGCGAAAGGCTTTGGGTGACTTGCTGAACTGCTTGTGCCGCCGCGTTTGCCACCATCTGCTGCATCTTCTGCCTGATCATCACCACCTGCTGGCCGAGGCGCTGCTCCTCCACCGGTGGCGGTGCTGCTCCCTGCACCACCGCTCCTTGTTGCGGCGCCACAGCCAGATCTGGTTGCAACGGCGTTAGGATCGCCGCTCCTTGAGCTGTACGAGCCTCCTGAGCTCGGTTTGAGCCCACGTCAGCCTCTGGTTGCACCGGCGTGATTTCTGCACCTTAGGGAACGGGCATCGGATTCACCGGTGTACGCAAGGGTCCAGAGAAGCCCGGGGGAGGGCCTTCTCCAAACGGCCTCGTCATCGTCCATGCTTCGTCGAACGATGCTTGCAAATCTTTCCTAGGAATTCCGTCCGCCATAGCCGCCGAGCTTTAGCAATCTCAGCACACCACTTTTCGAACGAAACTTCCACAGACGGCGCCAAATGGTAACGCAAAATACTCCGACCGTCTTGAAATCGGCTCGCCTTCCTCCTCCTCGCCAGTAGAACGCCGCGCACCTGCACATAACTCTCACACCGGAGGGGTTTTCCGGTGAAGAGCTTCCGATGCTTAAGTCAGTGTATATTTTACTCAATTCTCCAAAGTATGTAATGGATAAATCGTAAGTCACAAGAAAAGACTCACTCCTATATATATAGGAGTGAGATACCTGCCCTAGGAGCTGCCCGGATTTGGTGAGCTGTCCTGCCCGTACTGCCCGTCCGTACACACACAGTATGTGTGTGTCAGAGGCGTCAGAGGTGGTTATCACGACTATTGCTCTGCACCAATGTACTCTCGCCACGTGTCCCTCTGAGCAGAGGGAGATTATTCTCTGTGCATCCCGTTAGGATCTTCTAACACCACCCACGCACTTTCTCGCGTTCAAGCTACGCTCTCGACTGCTCTTCACCTGTTGAGTGCTCGATCTGACCGAGTCCTCCGTCGCTAGGTCGATCCTCGACCAGTTCTGCTATTCTGCTCGATCTCTTCCCTTTGGTCGATTATCCCTCGACCAATACAGTTTTCCCTACTTCGAGCTTGCCCGACCAATGTGGTAAACCGGTCTATTCTTTAGTTATATAATATCCCATATCATATATAAAGTTAAGAATTAGTTGTTAGTGAGATTTTAATTTAATATTAAAATAATATTTAAACTAAAGTAATTAAAGTTGATTTGATGTAAAACAAATGATTGTTAGTTAAGTTTATGTGAATGGATGACTAGTGATTTAAAGTTGATATTATATACATTAATGATTGTTTGATATTATTTAATTATATTAATTATATTAAGAATAGTGAAGTTAAAGTTAAAAGTTGAATTAAATTTTGAGTATAATTGAGTATGAATTGAGTTTTTTCATATATAGAAATACACCGTGGGATAAAATTATGTTAGCGATTAATTGATTAAATCCTATTATATCGTTTCCTTGCAAGTAAAAGAGCACTACAGTATCATATAGTGCATCTTCTTGCATTACATATCCAAAACCAAAAATTGAATAATATGTCGACAGAAGTCTCCGTCTCCTTCTCCCTACACCGCCAGCTCTACCATCATCGCCGCCACCACTCCTCCGCCGCAGACCACCATCCATGTTACTCTTTCCTCAAATTTCCCAAGGCACGTAACAACCTTTCTCTCTCATCTCCCCACTTTCCGTTCCCATCATCTTCCCCATCCTCACTCCAAAACCCACTTGAGGCTGACCGTTCTCTAACCAACTCATCCTCGCTCCAGAACCTACTTCAGACAGAGCGTTTTCTAACCAAGGACGAGCTCGTAAACCTCGATCTCCTCTCGAATTACAGCTACCATCAGCAATTAGAATCTGGGTTCTTGTGGGTCCGCGTGATGCGGGATGAGGAACTGGACATGACCGTAACCTTGCTGTCCGAGTCCTTTGCCGAGTCGATGATGATGGCGACTTCTGGTTATCAGAAATTGCTCGAGTTCTTGGTGAAAAATTACCTCCTCGAGAGGAGGGGGATGATGCCCCACAATGCGACGCTTTTAGGGATTTACAGGGAAAATGGGGAAGAGGATTTCGAGCTTGCGGGGACTGTGGAGTTGACTTTTGACCGAAAGGGGGCCAATGTGAATCCTCCAACGCCTAAGCCGCCCAAGGATTCGCCTTACATATGTAACATGGCTGTGAGAAAGCCGTTTAGGAGGTACAGTATACTTTCAGTTCTTCTATTAATTTGAATTTGTCGATTGATACAGGTTTTTGAGAGATTTGGTTTGGAAGAGTGATCTTAGATTAGGCTGGAAAAAAACAAACTCATATTCTAGTTTGAAAAAATGTGGATTTCTGCTTCTAATTCCTGGTTTGCATTTAATCGGAATTGAAATGCAGGCGAAGGCTGAAAGGTGCTTTAGCTTTCTATGCGGGCTTATCCTTTAGGTGCTGTAATTAATTGTTAATTTGTTTGGAATTATTATTATTCTGCATCAGAGACTTTTAGTATTAGAGATAGAATGAAGATTGATTTATATTTCCCATAAGCGTCCATGTTTATATGGGTTCATGCGTAAAGGTGAAGCTTGTCAGCTGATGTTGAACTTTTTCTCGTATCAAGTACTGTAAATGTCCATGATATGCTTTGTTAAAAGCAACAAACTGTATTTTGAATTTCTGGAATGTGTTTTATCTTGATGTAAGTCTAGCCTTTACATTGGAAGCATACTTGTCTCCAGTAAGCCATCTTTTGATCACTAAAATCTTCATTATCCAAGCCCTCATACATGGCTTAATGTCTTCCAGGAGAGGCATTGGCTGGCACCTGCTGAAAGCCAGTGAGGAGCTTATTACGAAAATGGGTTCCTTGAGAGAGGTCTATCTGCACTGCAGGATGATTGATGAAGGCCCTTTCACCATGTACACAAAAGCTGGATATAGCATTGTTGAGACAGACAGCATCTTGACATGGCTAACATTGCAGAGGCGTAGACACTTGATGCGCAAAGAACTTCCCGTCTCTGATTTTGCTTCTGAAATAGAATTTCCCATTGCAAATTCGACAGATGTGTAGAAATGACATTTCCGAGATAAAAGTTGGTTTAGACCGTGTCTTAAATGTACATGATGCAGCTTGTTTAATAGTGCAATTATTTGCTGCATGTTGTTGTTGTGCACTATACGCGATTGGATTTATAAAATATACCTTTGTTTAGAGAAGTTCGTTTGAAGGATGGTGGTCATCTGTGAAAACAGGTTCTGTTTTAATTTTCCACATTTGATGGTGTTTCTCTAGATATGTCAATTATGCTGATCAATCATGAATGAGATGTCATGTTCCAGTGTGTTGGGCTTGAAGCTAACTGGTAATCAAGTTATCTTTATATACATCTTAACGTATTTGTCTTGAATATTTACAGTGTCATCCTCGTCTTAACATGACAACTGCATTGCTTGACCTACTTATAAAGTTACAATTTCTGAAACTATCTTTGTACATTTATAATCAACTAAGATGTTATACAAATACTAAAAGTTACATACTCCTACACACATTTGTGTTATTTTGTGTGTATTAATTCCATTTGTGCGTTTGAACATTGCATGCTGAGAGTATGATGGGATCTCAGAGTATGTCCTAGTCTTAAATTGTTACTCTTTTTTCTTATCGCTTTTACATTACTGAGAAAAACTAAGCCATCTTGAACCTTCATTAGTCTCTACTAGCACATCAACATCTCTGATGTGTCTGAGATTCTTAACAAACATCAATAACTTTCATACTAAAAATATTGTTTTGAGAGCAAAATACTGAATCCCAGTGGTTTCACATCATCCTGAGTGCATGCATTGTCATTCCCAGTCCTTTAGAATTGATGTACATTATTATTTGAAGTTCTTTCACGCATTCCATCATGGAAGGCCTCTCTTGACTGTCAACTCGTACACATCGTGAAGCTAGGTTTGCAAACATGGCTATCGACTCCATTGTATATGATCCCCTTCCCATTTCAGGATCAATCACCCTTTTCAGTTTCTTCTTGTCATTGAGTATATTCCTGACCTGCGCAGTTGTCGTATACATCTCCATTCATATCATTTGTATAACTAATAGCATTGTTTACAAAATTACAAAGTTTTCCCCCATGGTGTAGCTTATTCTTGAACAAACTCCGAATTATCTTTGGAATTGCAAAAACTGCTCCTGGGGTTCTGAGTACTTACAAAAAGACCCCAATAACTTTTGAAATTACAGAATCACGCATGACGACGTTGTGTTACAATCTCAGTTTTGCTATATTCATTGGTTCTCCTGACGAAATTTGCTGATATTATCATATATTGTACAATTACACTTCTCAACGTGTCAAGATACTTGAAATAGCCGCAACTATTTTGTCGAGCTATTTGTAAAATGTAAGATGAAAACCCAGGTTCATTTGTAATACTCAGAACAGTTGAGGGAAATAATCGTAGATATATTGTATGGCATCGCAATTTACGGTATCTAAATTAACATCTGGTGCAAGATATTCGATGGATGTTACAACCTCGAGGGTGGTTTTGTAGTTTCCCAACAATAGCTGGGTATGTCTTGATTTGACCAATCCTCAAGGTTAGGTTTTTTCTTCCTTTTTTTTTTTTTTNCCTTTTTAGGCTGATTTTAATGTGTTGGGAAGTACCTGGACTACTAAGTTTTGATCGTTTGGTCCTTGGTTCAGGTCGACTGCTTGTTTTCCTGTCAAAAGCTCGAGTAGAACAACTCCAAATGCATAGACGTCACTTTGGAGAGTGAGTTTTCCTGTCTGTTAATGCCAAAGTAGACATGTCCATTGCTCAGTAGTCCCTCTTGCCATTTCATAAATGATAAATTAAAACCCGGTATCACTTCTCTTAATTTAAAATCGCTCTCATGAGAAAAAAATAGCAAAAAGAAGAAAAGGGAAGACTTATTTGCTATTCCATATATATGTGACCCACTTTAGGGTGTCAAAACCCAGATATGTAATGTGACTTATATAAATTAGCTTAATTTTCTAATTCTTGGTTAATTTAGCTTCAAGTTATTTTCTTTTCTGTCCTGTTCTTACCTGCTCCAGAGATATCAAGGAAAACAAAATTAGATAAACGTACTTGCTCGATGTAGTATTATAAGTGGTCTCTTAATCATAGAATGAGCCTTACCAATGTATATTCAGGATCAAAATAGCCGAAAGTTCCAAGTACAGTAGCCGTCATGCAAGTCTCCTGGCCGTCAGGCATTAACTTCGCTAGCCCGAAATCTGATATCTGCTTGTCCAAATTCTTTTGATAAAGATTTTTTTTTTTTTTTCTTGGAAGAAAAAGATTTTTCTTTTTTAATTGTGGTGAATCCTAGGGGTATTCTTGTATCCAATAACTCTTACCTTTGCTTCATAGTTGTCATCAAGAAGTATATTGGTGGATTTGAAGTCTCTATGAACAATAGGAATCCCAACATCAGAACCCGAGTGGAGGTACGCAAGCCCCCTTGCTGCCCCAATAGCTACTTTGAGCCTCAAAGGCCAATCCATCTTTACTTCTCGAATTCCTAAAATTTAACCAGCATACTATTAGAGGGTCTCGAATGCAAAACATGAAAAAATGACCAAAACATAATATGTTTAATAGCCAAACCGTTCAAGTGATCTTGCAGGTTCCCTTTGTGCAAATATTCGTATACCAGAAATCTGTGCTTCCCATCTGCACAATATCCAATTAAGTTCACGAGATTCAGATGATCTAATCTGCTCAAAATATCGACCTCCACACGAAACTCTCTCTCCCCTTCTGCTTTCCTGAATGGAGGTAGCTCCATTTTCTTGATTGCCACAACCTGTGGTTTGTGAAAATTCCATAATCAAAAGTTTTGATTGGTCGTTTTAGTTTTCTAAGATAAGTAGTTGTTTTCACATATTACCCCTCAAGCAGGTGCAATTTCTGAAATTTGAAATTTTAAAAGATAAACTGTGGAGNTCAAATTTTGTTGAACCTTTTAATCTGGATATTAAGTAAAATCCAACTTTTAAATGATTTTATAATTTTGATGAGAAAACAAGTAGAGGAAAAATGCAGGTAAGGCAGTGATTATGAGGAATGACTAAAAATGCATGTTAAAGTTAAGATCATACCTCACCAGACTTTAGAGTGCCTTTATATACTCGACCAAATCCTCCTTTTCCGAGCAGATTTTCGTCACTAAAAGAACACGTAGCCTCATCCATCTCTTTGAGTGTAAATACTGCTGATGCATTTCGCCTTTTTGCCGGTGGTTTTTTGTATTCTATCTGCCAGTGTTCCACAGGTTTGTATGTCCCTGAAAAAGCATAGTATACATGAAGTTCTTCAGCAAGAAACTTTGGTTTGTAAAGTTGCAAATCTCAAATCAACAAATTGAAAAAAGAAAAAAATACAAGGATTGATCTGTTCTTCGGACTTGCTTCTTCTACGTTTGTTCCAGGCAGAGACTAATCCGAAAGGCATTATTCGTGGTCTTCACAAATTAACGTAGTACAAAATATTGATCTCTAAACATCTCATGCAAGAACTCACTCTTAACAAGTAGAAAATTATGCAATCCTCTCTTCTTCTTTTTTTTTTTTTTTTTTTTTTTTTTTNCAAATATCTGGTGCAATTATTTGTATTAATATAGCTAGACTTGTGTTTACTTTGTTTGTAGAAACTGGGAATTAGATTATATTTTTAAAGTAGTATGAGAATCCTGATATGAGTAGATATAAAGCAAATGAAGAAGTTAGCTTTGTGGATACTTAGTTCCAACAACAACCAGGACTTCTCACTTGAAGTTAAAGAAAAAGCTACACAAGATAGAAAATGGTATTACTTGCTTACCTTTAAGTAGTGGCATTTTATTGTGGGGTATATTGTGGTTTTGTGTGTGTTATTTTGACAAGGAAAGATAAACTGCCTGTGCTTGTTGCATAATTTTTCCCTTGTTCAAATGTTAGTTTGATAGATAAGAATATGGTTGAGAGGTGGTTTTCATTCATACATCATATTTTTTCGAACTTGAGAGGAACTTGTGTTGGTTGGAAGTTGCTTTTGTGCTTTTGGTACGTCTGTAAATAATATTTGCGTCGATAATTCGTGTTGTGTTTTGAATGATGGTTATGTGATGATGGCCTTCTAAATATTTTTGGTGTCATTCTTGTTTTCAACTGAAAAAGTTCATGCTCTCTTTGAAATTAGTGTTGCAATGTCAACGACTCTAACGTAGGCTTAATGTTCGAAAAGACTTTCGTAATAACAATGTACTAGTACAAGCAACTGTGTACTACTAAAAAATAGTTGTACATTTTTTTTATTTTTTATTTTTATTTTAACATAAAATAAAAATGTACATTTTGTACATTCTTTAGTGACTATTATTAATATTGATTGAATTGACACAATTTTTATTGCCACGGAGAATTTTCAATTCGGTTTTGCTACTGCTAAATAAATAATAATATGTTTGCCTTCTTTTTTTGATACCGATTGTTTGTTTATTTAGACTCGTACAGTACCCGTGCCATGCACGGGTTTTATTATATCCGTTCCTTTTAAAAAACAAATTTTAATTAAAATCAAAGTACTTATTCAAAGAAATATCATGTCATTAATAAATAATAAATTAATAAATATAATGAAAGTAAAGTCTATATATTATTGAACATTGTCTTATATATAACGTTCATGGTTTGATTCTTTGGCACATAATCGTCGCCGCAAATTAGGATTTTCAAACCATAACACGGGAGACAACAACATACAACTGGCCCCAAACCGTGCAGTTCTTTATGTTATCCCTACATAATGTCTAAGATCATAGAGAATACAATCATTTGGGTAGGAACTCCCTCGACAACCTTCATTTGAATAGGTTGTATTGAAACAACCAATTCAATAACATCTACAAAAATATAAGACAATACATCATATTGAAATGTATAATGTATTATATAGTTTATTAAAGATTTTAACTTAAAAAAATCGAAATAAGAAATAAACAAAAAATTATAACGTACCAAACAACATGGCTTCATCAACATTATGAACCTTCATTAAAGTTAGAAAGTTTCTAAAGTCAAAACGATACGTAGGAAATTCACCCCTCCACTTGAGAATGTTGGTTTGGCCATTGATAATGATCCTCCAATTACCTATTGTCGATTTATAGATGCCAATATTATTTGATATCCATGATTACTCTAAAATCCAATGTCATTTTGAATGTATACGAAAAAACTTGTGAAAAAAATATGTTTTGTGGGATGTATTGATTGTAGAATATTTTTGGTTCAATGTTGGTGATGGTTATATAGATATTTGTGTATGTGACATATGCCCCACACGGGAATTTAAAAATTGATTTACGTCAGGTTTTAAGTTGAGTAGGATTTATTTTCTTGAATAATGTGATTACGACCGACTTCAAAAAATATGTTTATCTGTTTTTGTTAAAAAACAAAAACAAAAAATGTGGAACGTGTTACATGTGCTCGGATTTTGTCGATTAATGAAGATTATGTGCCATATCAATGTGACATAATGTATACCAAAATTAATGGAGTTTGTTACAATTTAATTTGGTAAGGCTTATTAGATTGATTGAAAAATAATATTTTTATTTTGACATGTATCATTTATCAAATCTCGAGATTTTTTCTGCAATATTTAACTCCAAACAATCCCAAGATTTTGTGAAATTTGTTACCAAAAGAAATTCCAAAGATTATAGGCAATATATTGTTTGTAAATAACTATGAAGTGTGTTACCAAAAAAACCGATATTTTAAAAGATTTGTTATCGCAATCCGAGATTTGTTGTCACAATTAGATCAAATTTGTTAACAAAATCCGAGATTTGTTATCAAAATAAGATCAAGTTTGTTACCAAAATGCAAGATTTGTTATCAAAATCCGATCAAATTGGTTGATATGTGGGGCCCATTGATATTGCTTATATTAGTAAGTCAACAATTAATTTTTTATTTAGAAGATTATGTGTCATATCTATGTGACATAATTTTTACCAAAATTAATGGAGTTTGTTACAATTTAATTTAGTAAAGCTTTTTGGATTGATTAAAAAATAATATTTTTATTTTGATATGTATCATTTATCAAATCTCGAGATTTTTTCTGCAATATTTTACTCCAAACAATCCGAAAAATTGTGAAATCTGTTACCAAAAGAAATCTCAAAGATTATCGACAATGTATTGTGTGTAAATAACTATGAAGTGTGTTACCAAAAAAACCGATATTTTAAAAGATTTGTTATCAAAATTCGAGATTCGTTATCACAATCCGAGATTTGTTGTCACAATCAGATCAATTTTGTTAACAAAATATGAGTTTTGTTATCAAAATAAGATCAAATTTGTTACCAAAATCCGAGATTTGTTATCCAAATTCGATAAAATTTGTTACTAAAATCCGATTAAATTGGTTGACATGTGGGGCTCATTGATATTGCTTATATTAGTAAGTCAAGTAGTCAACAATTAATTTTTTATTTTGAAAATTATGTGTCATATCAATGTGACATAAAGTTTACCAAAATTAATGTTGTTTGTTACAATTTAATTTGGTAAGGTTTTTTTGGATTGATTGAAAAATAATATTTTTATTTTGATATGTATCATTTATCAAATCTCGAGATTTTTTCTGCAATATTTAACTCCAAACAATCCAAAAAAATTGTGAAATCTGTTACCATAAGAAATCCCAAAGATTATCGACAATATATTGTGTGTAAATAACTATGAAGTGTGTTACCAAAAAAAATGATATTTTAAAATATTTGTTATCAAAATCCGAGATTTGTTATCACAATCAGATCAAATTTGTTAACAAAATCCGAAATTTGTTATCAAAATAAGATCAAATTTGTTACCTTAAATCTTTGTTTTAATGTTTATTCTAAATATAGATGTTTATATTTTTAACATCTCATCTCATCTCACTATGAAAATAAAATAAATAAAAACGATGAAAAATCATATATTATGAAACACTTCTCTTTAAACAATATTTTTTTATTTAAGGAATGTTACTAAATCTTGTAGTTTTGATTTTTATTTTTAAATCAATTCACCAATCTATGATTGTGAATATAAAAATATTAATGGAAAGAAACAAACTTTAAAAAGGAATTGTCGTGATTTCTCAAAATTTTTACAAAATATCATAGTATATTTGAAAATTACCCAAATTTAGGATAAAAAATTATGTTGAGAACTGAATCATTTTGAGAGAAAAAATATTTAGGTGCTCTTAGTAGCTTCGATAATAGCGTCTTTTTAAGTAAATATGATCTGAGAACGAAAGAAACAAATAAAAATTATAACTTTGATTAGGATGGATTTCACTAAATGATAACAAATGATAAAAATAAACTTATAATTTTATACTGCAAACCATAGTATAATCTTATGTAAATGTATAAATATGGTGTCTTAACAATATCATTAAAATCTCAAAATATGGCGTATCCTTTTACTCTTGTTCGTTTACTTCCCTGGACGAGATTGGATATTTAAATTTGTCACGCCATATCATCTGTTTACTTTAAATGATTGGGATAGAACTCTTTCTAGTTGGCACCCATGTGGCATGCGGGTCCCACAGTGTATCCTTCAGTCGCTGATAAAATAAATCCCAAGGGGGAGGCCGGATTTTTTTATCCCGTTTTTACAATGCCCATTTTTATCCTTTTTTTCCCGTGAAGTAAACGTTGGACAACTTGCTGACATGTAAGAAGTTGGATTATTTTGTTTAATTCTATCAAACAAAATAAATGAGGTCTTATCATATATTAATATTAAGAAGGCCACACATAACTTTTTCAAAACAAAAACACAACTGTTTCCATTTTTATTGCAAATTACAAACTTATTTGGCAAATGTCTTTTGAGCGATATGTTAGGGCCATGCTTCAATCTAATCGCAACGATTTTTGGATTTATACAGAGTGCAACTTTTATTGTCTTTGTCTTCACAATACTGATATATGTGAGGCTACGCTTGGTCGAGGCTCGTCAAATGTTTGAAGTCGGGTCACAGGATAATATAGAGCTGGTATGGTGAACGATCGATATGCGTACTCAACTTCCACACCAAAAATTTATTGAATGCGAACGAATCATTATAATGTAAATAAATAAATAAAGTTGAGCTATTACTAATGATAAAAAGTGAAACTCACAGAGGGTGAAAGATTAACAACACACAAAGTGGCTTCAACACCAGGGGAAGGGCATACGTGATGTAGGGATTTTCTCAAAATTTTACGGTTTTCATTAAAAACACAGTTTACCTAACATAAAGCGCTTGGTGATTAAGTCTTAATATAGAAGCAAAATTAAAAATTTGATAAGAAGTTGGTATTGTTATTCACTGCAAATAAATAGACAAATATATATATATATAAAAGGTATTTTCTATAGCAAAACAAGTATTTTCTCTAGCAAAACATTGCCTGAATATCAATTGTAACATCAAGTGGAAATGAGGAGCCAACACTTATGTATGTCGAAAATTCTTGACATTACCATTGAGGAGAAGCTTTTGGTGGAGGAGACACACGGATAATCCGCCGCTTTCTTTAATTTAAATGATACAATAGCTGCATCAACCTAATAAACAATTGAAAAAAATAGGATTTTATGAATTGTGTGTAATTTATACCTTACATTGCCAAATGGAGTGAACGGTAGGAAAAACTTACTTTGAGCTGGGGAAAGAAATTTGTCGTCGAAACCTTAATTTTGCATTCATGATCTGAAAGGAAACAATTTCCACACAACTCAGACATGAAAATATCTCATGAACATAAATAATCGTAAAATATCAAGAAGACATAATATGCAATACTCAGAAATATTTCTTGTAAGACCTGAATAAAAGTTCACGGAAATATTAATGGGCCGATACTCAGATGATTTTGAAGACGAACCAACCAAGCACAGGGTTGCTTCAACCTGAAATAAAATAATGAATGAACACATTTTTTTGGTTGACAACGAATGGATTGGTTATTGTTTATTTGCATACGTGAAGTAAAAGAATTACTTTAGAGAAATATGTCACCCAACACGTGGGCACTAAAGTTGAAAGGTATATGTGCCACCACCTGAACAAAGAAAAAACACACATTCACAAAAATAAAAAAAAATAAAAAAAAAAATCAACTCAATGGTTTTAAAAAATATTTATGTGAAACAGAGCTAAACATCTATCAAATATGGAAAATGCTTATTTTTCAAGATGTAAGCAATTCATATAATGAGTTAAGAAAAGCACTGTAGCCAGCATGAATGCTAAAGGGAAACTAATCAAGCACTAGTGGAAATTGTTAGTATATAAATCTATGATTTATCAATTTAAGAGATCAAGAAGGAAAATAACATCTTCATTAACTTAGTCAATAATATTATCCCTAACCTTTGAATCTGTGGGCTTCTCCTTTGGAGTACTGACGAAAAATGCTACGTATATGACATTTTGTGAAAGCCTAGGAAGCCTAAGAGGAAATCCTTTTCCTCTTAGGCTTCCTAGGTTTAATTGTAGTGGGGAGTTTTCTTAGTTTCATTTCTTTGGCTTTAGTTATTGAGGTTCTAGGCCACTTGCATGCGAGTCCTTTCAGTCTTTGATTTGCGGTAGTCTTGATTTGTACTTAAATATTGTTCCCTTTTCTTGAGTTAATAGTTATCTCTAACGTTCCAGAAAAAAAAAAAAAAATAAATAGAGAATATCACACCATTTTACATGTTACCATATTAGAACAGTATATCAAAATAATAAAAAATAGTTCCCTGGCCATCTCCCCAACCAGCAAGCCTTCGAGCAACCAAACCCCAATCCGGGCCCCCAACCCCCAACTTCCATGTTTCACATTATTCTTTTATTCAAAGATTCATTAAGCTCCCAAAGTTAAAACTGTGAGAATTAAACAACTCTAAAAAAAGTAGCAGAATTAATCATCCAAATAGTACTAAGGCAACATCATTTAGGATCCTTAGACAAAAAAAAAAAGGCTGACAAACATTCCCACAAATTTCGAAAAACATATACTACAGATTCACAGAAAATTTCCAACTTACAAAATTTTTTCTAGCAGATACACCGATCAGATGGCAACTCCATTTACACAATTACGATTACTAACTCATCAAATAACTATAGCAATTCAAGACACAGTTTTAAAGCACACGGAAAAGCAATCGGGCCATAGATCCAATTTAATTTCGCATATAATAAAATTGACGGGAATAGGAAAATGTGGAACGAAAGATAAAAACCATCCAAAAATCTGGCTACAAATAATTGATCACACAAGCAAAACAACTTGAATTGAAATAGAAAACCTGAAACTAAATTTCAGTATTCTTCATGACTGCCATCGATCAAGACTCACACTCCCTTCGCTTCTTGATTTTCTCTGCTAAAAACATGAATAAAATTTATGATTCCTTTAGATATGTGACTGGAAACATAAAATAAAACTTTAATTCAAGATGAGAAAATCGAAGTAGAACCTGTAAATTAAATTGAAGAAAACACAAAAATTTTAAACTTTGCGAGTTGAGTTTAATGGTGAGAATTAGAGGAAGCAAATGATGGCTTATGGGCGTAGCCATGTTGCTGCACATGGTCACCCTGAATTCGTGATCTGCCATCGACTATCACTGCCACGTATAGGGCGTCGAACTTCTCGGCGTCAACATGGACATCCCCGTCCGCGTCGATGTTTCCGATCATTGCCCACAACTCCTCCTCTGGCACACGGATCCCAGATTCTCCAACGACTCGTCGACCTCCTACCGGATGATCTTGTCATCGCCGTTGAGCATGGAGAAGACCGAGCGAGCTTTTGGGTGCCCATTTCCTGATGTGGAGCCCTAATTAGCCGAGAGAATTGGTTTGGGTTTTGATCGGTACACCCAAAATTATTGAGAGAGTTTTGATTAATAGTTAGCCGAGAGAATTTGTTTGGATTGTGATTGGATCACCCAATAATTACGGGAGAGATTTGGTTAATTGATAATTTAAATGTACCAAAAAAATCTTTCCGAATAGATTATCAAATTTACAAAAAAAAAAGGCTTAATAATAGGAATACCTTACCAAATTGTATGCTAAAACATTCGAATAGGTCATCAAATTTTCTGAAATCATTTTCTTAAATATTTAATTGATACTATCCGATAATTATGATATTGATATGATTCACATCCCGTGTGATCTCTCGAGATTGGTACAAAAACAAAATAAAAAGGAATAATTGTTCATGAATTGGTTGCCAAAATCCGATAACTTTGGTAAGAAAATATCGATTATGAAATTTGTGAACAAAAAGAAATCCCACAAAATTTGGTATCATTTGTTAACAACATTCCAAATAATCAAAATTCGAAGAAATTGGGAAGGGAAATTCGACCGAGTATCTGCGATAATTTGTTCGAATTATGAATTTGTGAACAAACAAAAAATCCCACAAAATCTGCTATAAAAGTTAACAGCATTATGTGATTTATTATTTTTAAATCGGATCATATCATATCTCTATAGATTGATACAAAAAACAAAATAAAAGGGAATACTTGCTAAAAAATTGGTACCAAATCCGATAAATTTGGTAAAGAATCATACTCGAAAATTGTGAACAAAAAAAATCCCACAAAATTTGGTATCATTTCTTAATAGAATTAAGTTGATTTACGTGAAAAAATTTTTAGCAGAATAAATCTTATGAATGTGTGGGGCTCTTTGCTTATTACTTAAATAAGTAAGTCAAAACATTATTTTTTTAGGTCAACCTTACTATTTTTGTATTTTTCCAACAACCTCTTTATATTACTATAGATTAATTAAGTGTGATAATATTTTTTTTAAAACTTTCATATAATAATTAATACAAATATTAATTAATTATATATTCATAGTAACACTTATGAAAGTTATACACCTATAAAAAAATATGAAAAAAAATGCAGCAAAATAATTTCTTCTGGTTACTTATTTTAAAATTAACTAGTATGTACCCCGTGCGATGTACGGACGGTATTCATTTTGAAGAATATTATAAATTGAAGTTTATTAATAAATAAAAGAGTGATAATTCATAGTGAAATTGTTAAATAATAAAATATTCCTCATGAAACAAAATATATATTATTAAAAATCTCCTTATACACAACATCATTAATTTGTTAACTCGACAACTTATTGTCCCAACAAACTAATATTTCCAATCATTTATTATTACTTACACGCGAAACAACAACATATAATTGGCCGTCACTAAAAATCGATTTCTTTAAGAACATACAACGCACGATAAAGACTAACCTGACTCTTCTTTATCTATTATTTACACGCGAAACAACAACATTTAATTAGACGTGACTAAAAACTGATTTCTTTAAGAACATGTCACCGCACAATAAAGATTGATTCTGACACTTAAATGAAACTCTAATAACAGAAGGAACTGGTGCTGCTGGAACTTAAATGGAGTCCTAAGATGGATTTATTTATAATATAATAATTTACTTAGTTGTTAGTTTATCATTTTAATATCGATTATACTTGATTAGCTAAATAATATTTACTAATATTTTTATACTTTTTTATCTTGTTAAAAAAAATTGATCATGTATGTTTAAAATTTTAAAAACACCTAAAATGTTATATAACATATGTAAGATTATCTAAAATATTATGTATTATTCTTAAAAAAATGTGAGGTCACCTAAATATTTTCTAAATTATTTTGTAAGTAAAACATGTCAAAAAAATTTTTTTAACACAAACATATATATAACATGTTTAAAAAAATATTAGTAATTATATTCGTGAATAACATGTATACGTGTACAAAATATGCATGAACAATATGTATTACAACCTACAAAACATTAAAATTTACATCACGCTAATTTTTATGAGAAAGATTTATATAGTAGATATAAAATATAAAAACATTAGTAATTAGACATTGCTTCCCGCTAATTTTTTCAAGCCGAACAATTTTTAAATGGACAACCGCCCTATTATAGGTCTAAAAACTTTTTATATAATACATTATATATGTATATATAGATATAGATTTTGCATAACAGATTTATATTTTGTCTACAAAGAAAATAGAAAATTCATTTACTATACAATTTTTTTTAAAAAAAAAAACCTTCTTAAAAACAATTGTAAAAAATAATGCCATAAAAAAGGGTTTTGTGTACATCTCACACAAAAAAGAGTTTGTATATACCTCATAAAAAATCATTAATTTTCAAAATCTGCTAAAATGAAGAAACATATTTAAATATTACTATAAATTTGTATTTTGTGTATATAAATGGCAATTCGAATAGTTCATTCTAATAAATATGATAATACCAAAAAGATCCTCAAAAATGAGAACTCCCAAATTGGCGCCATATAAATTTAAATATAAATATAAAATTGTATTTTATGTATATGGCATATATGCTCATTCAAATCAATGGTTCTAATAAATCTGTTAAAAAAAATCATCCATAAATGAGAATTCAGAAATTGGCTACATATAACTATTTATATAATCTTTTCCTGCAAAACAATTGTCAACATAATTAAAATAAACTAAGAATTGACAAAAACAAACACAAATTGAAAGTTAAATTACATGAAAACTATGCAATTAATGATTTATTTTTTATTGATATTATTTCCATCTATAGTAGGTAATTAATGTTTTTTACGGGAAATGATTTCTAAAAATGAATTAACCTTTTTTTTATTATATATATATAGATAATTTAAGTTTGTAATAGTGAAGTTATAATTTGTGTTAATATTGCAAATTGATTTTTATAAAATATATGAGGTAATATCTACTAAAATAATATTAAGCATGATATATAATTTGTTGGATAATATGGGTGTTAAAATTGTTTATTCTTATGCTTGTGATGTTGATGGTTTTGTTCTTATGTTCTCTTAGATCGGATGTGATGATGATGATGAAACAAAATTTTCGGCAGATTCCACAAAAACGGAAATGTATGCACAAAAAAGGGGAATGCATGGGAGAGTCCTACGGCAATTAATTCAAAAAAAAAATAAAAAAAATATGGGAACTGCATCTC